GACATGATAGCCGTCTTCCAATATCTCAGGGGCTGCCACAAAGAAGAAGGAGTCAAGCTATTCTCCAAAGCACCTGAGGGCAGGACAAGAAGCAACGGGTGGAAACTAACCAAAGAGAGAATAATTAATCAGTGGAACAACCTGCCTCCAGAAGTTGTGAATGTTCCAACACTGGAGGTTTTTAAGAAGAAACTGAACAGCCACTTGTCTGGAATGGTATAGGATCTCCTGTTTGAGCCGGGGGCTGGACTACAATACCTCCCAGGTCCCTTCCAACACTGTTATTCTGTTATCTTTCTTTGCCGTTTCCAAATCCATCTGTTCAGTCTCATTCTGGAGACTGTTTGGCACTGTCTGGCATCCACTTTTTCAGCCTGGTTGTGATTGCTGCTTATGTATTGTACAAGGCCTGGCTCTCTTCTAGGAGAAAGATGAAGAGAGTTAGTGGTTTTGAGACCCACAGTTTGAGAGGTGTGTATGTGTGGGAGAACTGAAGGAAGGTTGAAAATTGGATGGATCAACAGTGGTCACAAAGGCAGGGAATCCTATCTATATCTAGCCCTCTGCACCACAAGGGTTCAGTAATTTTGGTGGAAAAACCATCACCATCACCAACTCTGGCAAAAGGTGAAAATAAGAAGAAAGAATTTTTAGGGGGTTGGAGTGCAAACATTGCATTAATAATTTTTAAAAGGCCTAAATCATAGCATCGTATTTCTCAAGGTCACAACCGAATCCTTTTGGCCACTGAATCTTTCATGTGGCAAAATTATATTTAACGGAAGATGATAAAATTCTTGAGATGGGTTCACTTGCCCTGAAATCAAATCCCTAATCTCTTATATTTTATTTATGTTTATAAATATTTATGTCTCATACATTCTAATGTATAGGCGGTTCCCAGATGGCTCATGCATTGCAACATTTAAAATCAATTCGAAGTGATATTTATCAACAGCTAGGATAGTTCCGTGTGATTAGTTCTCTCGGTTTTTTTTTTTTTTTAAATTGCTACAGCAAAGAATTTGATCAATGCATTGACTCGAGAAAGTTTTGTAAAAAACGTTTTTCCTATCACGTTTTTTGCCCCAACTGTGGTTAAAAATGCAACCAAACATGCTGACATTGGAGGAAAGGACTGGAGAAGACAGGAGAAGTGAAATCACTGCAGGTGACAGAATTTAGCAAACTTGAGCTAATTCTGAGAAGGTCAGACGGGACCACAAAGAAATTGAAAAACATCTCAGAAGAAAGTGCTGGCAGATTATTTCTGTATTCCTGTTAGAAAAGCACATGTCTATATCCAGGTGGTAAACAGGAGTTTAACTTTTTTTTGTAATAGAATATCAAGAGTTGGAACTTGACTCAAAAGGCTACGCTTTACAGCACTGTAAATGGTCCTGTTCGGTTCTTCAAAAAATTGGGACTCTAGTCGCATCTTTTCTGACCAGTATGTTTTATTACAAGGGATTTTTGCCACCACAAACTAACATAGGTCTCTTGCTACAAGTCCCAAGAAGTACTGTACATAGCACAGAAGCGCTGCTTGAGCAGGGTTCGTAAGATCATCTGGGACACTACACATCCTCTTCACAACCTGTTTTCCTTGTTACCTTCTGGGAGGAGGAGGCTTCGTGGTATCCGAAGCAGAACATCCAGATTCAGCCAGAGTTTCCTTCCATACAGCATTAACCTTGCGAACTCTCAAGCTTCCTCCTTCCGTTATATATTCAAGATGGACAGTATTTAATATTTATTTGCTACGTATATGTAGGGATGTGGGTCTATACATATGTTGTTCATAGTATGTTTAGGTGCGTGTCATGTATGTGTTTCACTTTGAGAGCGGGCAACTAAATCTCATTTTTGATGTGTGTGCCATTGTGCCCACAGTATAAAAATGACAATAAAGGTTATCTTATCTTATCTCTTATCCCTCCTAATGTCTCTCCCCTGCCCCTTGTTGCACCTACACAAACTGGATTCATATAGATTTATAGTCTGAGGCTGCACTCTTTCATGTCCTAGGCGCATAACCCTAAGGGTCACTGAAAACAATGGATATTTTGGAACAACAATATATATGTGACATTGCTTTCAAATATTTGTTTGAGGAGGGACTTGCCATATGCTAGTGCCTGTGTGTCTTTGAGCAATGTTGCCATTTCAAACAAAGGCTGGGCTAAACCAGTATTCCATTATTTATCTGCAGCAATATTTCTCCCTCTTGTTTGTCTCTTTCCCTCCCCTTTCCCTTTCCTTTCTGTTTTGGCAAAACAGGAGAATTGCCTGTGAAATATGAGCTGTGCAGTTTTGAAGGAAAACGATAGATTTTTATGAGCAGTAGATCTCCCTTAATATTAATTTATTTATTACAGCCCTAGGGCCAGATACAAACAAGATACTGAATAAAAGAAATATTATGTGGTTCTTTACATAAACATTATATATGTATGTATATGTATATACATTATATACATTATGTATATGTATATACATTATATA